CCAGAAAAGATGTTGATCCATCATTCATCCATTTGTTCATTCACTAAATAGTTTCAGTATCCCTGCTAAGTGCTAAGTACTTATTATTCTCCAGAATTACAACAGAAAAGTTACAGGCCTGGCTTCATAAAGCATGTAGACTAGTAACGAATTAAGAATGATAAAGAAAGGATCTTCCACTGGGAGAAACAGGCTGAATATCTAGCAGTATTTTTTTGTGTGTTTTGTTTTTTGGCCCCGATTACCAAACAGGAAGGAAGAAAGATAAATAGGAAGAAAGAGGAAAAAAAGAGTAAAACAGAAAGAAGACACATCCCCTGAATGCAGCATCTCCTATATTTGTATTGCCTACTGGGAAGACTCAGTAGCTAAAGATTCATCCAATCTAATGCCATATGGATGGTGAAAACGTTCTCCTCACCCCATCCTTTACCTTTACCAGATTAAAATCATTACTATTAAAACACTGAGATCACAAGGAGAAGGGGAAACCACCACTTCCTGACATTTAAGAAAGAGTATTCTATCTGCTTAATAACATCAGAAGGACCATAAAAAGTCCTTCCTTCAATTAAATATCTCCATCAACTATTAACAAATTAAGCATTTCTTAAGTTATGATACATTAAAAGGAGATCATTAATATTTGATTCTATTGTGTACATCAGAGATGCATGTCATGTTAATGACTCATAATCATGACTCCATTTTTTTAGTCTTTTTAAAATGCATATTAACCATCTTAATGTTACATAAAATACAAGATCAATTTTTGCCTAGTGCCTCACATATGTAGGGATAGTTGTGTGTTCTGTGCATTACAAAGCACTTTGTGTGTGTGTGTGTGTGTGTGTGTGTATGTGGACTCAGTAGCTCAGTCACGTCTGACTCTTTTGTGACCCCATTGACTGTAGCTCACCAGGCTCCTCTGTTCATGGAAGTTTCCTGGCAAAAATATGGGAATGGGTTGCCGTTTCTTCCTCAAGGTGATCTTCTCAACCCAGGGATCAACGTGGCATCTCCTGCATCTCCTGCACTGGCAGGCAGATTCTTTACCACCGAGCCACTTGAGAAGCCCAAAGCAGTGCACTGTATCCATTTCTTTTCCACTGTCACACTTTCATTCCCTTATCTGTCACGGCTGGAGGTGAGCCTCCCTGTGCGCCAGGGAGGAAGCTGTGCGTGGCCAGAAATATGAAACTGACTTTGCATCCATTGCCTGAACCCTGTCCCTTCAAGATCTGAAGGCCTTGGGGTCTTTAGGCATGCCCCATTTTTTTTTTAATCCTGCTACAATACATATAACATAAAATGTACTGTTCTTAATTATTTTTATGTGTACAGTTCAGCAGTGTTAAATACATTTGCAGACTGTGCAACCAGATTCCAGAACTCATTTCATCTTGCAAAACTGAAACCCTACACCCACTAAATCACAAGTACCCATTTTCCCATTCTCCCCACCCCCTGGAAACCACCACTCGACCCCCTGTCTCTCTGAACTTGGTTATTCTAGGTACTTCATAAGAGTGAACTCATATAGTATCTGTCTTTCCATGACTGGTTTATTTCACTTAGCATATAGTGCCCCAGGGTCATCCATGTTGTAGCATGTGTCAAAATTTCTGTCTTTCTTCTTCTTTTTTATTTATTTATTTATTTATTTTTTGGTGCACTGCGTCTTCCCTGCCTCACGTGGGCTTTCTCTAGTTGTGGTGAGTGGGGGTTACACTCTAGTTGTGGTGCGTGAGCGTCTCATTCTGGTGATTTCTCTCATTGAGAGGCAAGGGCTCTAGGGCATATGGGCTTTAGTAGTTGCAGCTCTAGAGGGCAGGTTCAGTAGTTGTGGCGCATGGGCTTTAGTTGGTCCTCAGCATGTGGGATCATCCAAGACCAGGGGTTGAACCCGTGTCCCCTGCAGTGGCAGGCGGATCCCTATCCACTGGACTACCAGGGAAGTCCTCCTTCTTTTTCTTAAGGTTGAATAATATTTCATTACAATTTTGTTTATCCATTTATCTGTTGACGGACATTTAGTTACTTCTATCTTCTGTTGATTGTGAATAACACTGCTATGAACATGAGTGTGCAAATATTCCTTTCAGACCCTGCTTTCAACTCTTTTGGGGTATATACCCATAAGCAGAACTGCTGGACCATATGATAACTCTATTTTTAATTTTTAAGGACGATAACACTGTTTTCCATTGCAGCTGCACCTTTTTATCTCCCCACCAGCAATACTTAAGAATTCCAACTTCTCCACATTCTTGCCAACCCTTGTTATTTACCTTTTTAAAAACTATAGCAGCCATCCTGATGGATGTGAAAGGATGTCTCAACCAAATATCTCTTAAGGTTATGCTTTGGTTTTCAGATAATACCTTAGTGATGAGTCTACATTACTATTTGCAGAAATCTGAGAGTGCAGCCCCGCCACAGTACACAAAGCCACTGAATATCTAGGCTGGGATGGGAACTGAGCTATGAGACATCCCCAGCTGAGCAAGTTACTAGCCCCAAAGGTTACCTGCTCTGTTGCATAAAATCAGCTCATCGGTAGCTTTACACTAATGCAGTCTGTCAGCTTTCAATTTGTGCTGGAAAATAAGAGAATATGGAACAAGGGTTGTTGTTGTTCAGTCACTAAGTCGTGTCTGATTCTTTGTGATCCCACGGACTGCGGCATGCCAGGCTTTCCTGTCCTTCATTCTCACCCGGAGTTTGTTCAAATTTATATCCATTGAGTTGGTGGTGATATCTAACCATCTCATCCTCTGCCACTCTCTTCTCCTTTTGCATTCAATCTTTCCCAGCATCAGGGTCTTTTCCAATGAGTCATCTCTTTGCATCAGGTAGCCAAAGCATTAGAGCTTCAGCTTCATCAGTCCTTCCAATGAATATTCAGGATTGATTTCCTTTAGGATTGAGCGGTTTGAACAGGGGTCTGTCCATTTCAAAACCCTACTCTGGTTTATCAAAATTTTATAAACTAAGAAAGAACTTCATGGATCCTTGTAGAAAGTCCTCACTCCTGTTTCACAGTTGCCCCTTTATACCAACAAACACAGCCCCAAAACAAGGGCAAAGTATCAATAAGATGGTCCCTTCCGTCTCTTTGAACATAGAACCATGAAGATATTAAACCAGTTTTGATGCTCATGTAGAACTCACAGAGAATACTGAACCATAACTCGGGTAACACTTCTTTGAAAATCGAAGCATGTGTGGTGGGCTGAACAATACCCCCTGCCCCTTTCCTCCTGAAAAATACCCATATCCTCATCTCTGGGACCTGCCAATGTTACCTTATATGGAAAAAAGGCTTCACAGGTATGAAAAAGCACAGGGAGAGAGGGAGACTGTTGTGGGTTATTCACACGGATCCCAATTGTCATCACAAAGGCCCCTATGGGAGGAAGTCAGAAAAGTCAAGGGAAGAAGATGGCCACGTGATGAAGGAAGCGGGGCGGGGGGGGGGGGGGGGGGAGTGATGCAGTAGCCATGAGCCAAGGAATGAGAACGGCCTAAAGGGCTGGAAAAGGCAAGGCAGTGGATTCTCTCCTCCAGCCTCCAGAAGAAACCGCCTGCAGACACCTTGCGTTTAGCTCTGTAAGGCTCACTGCAGATTACTACAGTGCCTCTAGGATGTAAGAAAATAAATTTCTGTGCTTTAAGCCAGGGGTCCCCAACCCTTGGGCCATGAACCAGTCTATGGCCTGTTAGGAACCAAACTACACAGCAAGAGGAAAGCTGCAGGCAGGCGAGTGAGCGAAGCGTCCCTGTGTTTACAACGGCTCCCCATCACTCGCATTTCCTACCATCAGATCAGAGGAGGCATTAGAGTCTCAAGGGAGTTTGAACTCTACTGCGAACTGGGCGAGTGAAGGATCTAGGTTGTGTGCTTCCTTATGAGAACCTAACACCTAATGATCTGATCCTGTATTATGGTGAATAATAGTGTATATGGTGTATAATTACTTTACTATATGAAAGTGAAAGCATTAGTCATTCAGTCATGCCTGACTCTTTGCGACACCAGGCTGTAGCCCACCAGGCTCCTCTGTCCATGGAATTCTCTAGGCAAGAATACTGGAGTGGATAGCCATTCCTTTTTCCAGGGGATCTTCCTGACCCAGTTATCTAACCTCAGTCTCCTGCATTGCAGGCAGATTCTTTACCATCTGAGCCACGACGGAAGTCCACTTCATTATATATCACAATGTAATAATAACAGAGACAACGTGCATAATAAATGTAATGGGCTCCAATCATCCTGAAACCATCTCCCCCACTCCCAGTCTGTGGAAAAACTATCTTCCACACAACAGGTCCTTGGTGCCAAAAAGGTTGGGGACCACAGCTTTAAGCCAGTAAATTCGTGTTCATTTATTATAGCAGCCACAGGAAATGAATATGGCATCAAAATCTACCAACTTCATTCACCGTCCCTTATATTTCAGCTTCCCAACTGGTCCACCACAAAGGACCTATCTCCTTGCCTCCAACGGAAGCTGGTTGGGGTTTGGGGCAAAAGTCTTACCAAACTGTCCAAAGGCCCTGGGTTACCCATGGGGGGCTGGGTGCCACACAAATGTCCTTTTCTACATGTTCCTACATCACAACAATTGTAAAGCATCCAAGTAGAGAAAAGTCCCAGGAAAAGCACCTTTTCAACTTCATGCTTAAAAGCTCCTGAACACAGTTCAACAGAATATGAGGAAGAATAAAAAAGTGTCAGTGTTCCTATCAACTGCCATCCTTCAGGACTGCTGTTTGATAAGCTGAGGCAGAAAATTTTTAGTGAAAAAGAAGCAAAATGCAGCATCCTTTCTGAACAAGAAAACTTGAGTGGGAAAACATCCCATATCCTCATCAAGCAACTGTTTTCCCCACCGCAGCTCCATCCCCAGGTGGTCTCTCGCAGCCTCACTCCCTCCCTCCCTCGCCTGGGATCTGGGGACGCAAAGGCCTCTGGAGCATGCGCACTTGGCACAGACCTGATGGGGAGGGAAGGGTCTCCGGCATCCCACCAGTCTTTCGGGGGGCTGATGTACATGCACCATAGCTCCCAGCTGTACCCGTGGGCCGAGTTCTCATAGCGCTGCACCTCGAAGGTGTCCTGCTTGATGTTGTCGATGGAGGGAAGGATCACACGCTTCCGGTTCTCCTGGATCCGCGAGAGGACCGGTTCGGCCCTGAAACACAGAGAAATAGAAATAAAAACCTCTCTTTTGGGCTTCCCTGGTAGTCTAGCGGTTAAGAATCCACCCTGCAATACAAGGGACACCGGTTCCATCCCTGGTCCGGGAAGATCCCACATGCGGAGGGGCAACTAGGCTGGGGTACCACAATGACTGAGCCAGTGCTCCAGAGCCCGGGAGCTGCAACTCCTGGGAAGCATCCTTTAGTAGACTCTGCAATATCAACTCAGGTCACAAGTTAGTATCACGGGCTCCCTAGAGCCTGTGCCCTGCAACCAGAGAAGCCACCACAACGAGAAACCCGTGCACCCAACAAAGAGTAGCTGCTGCTCGCTGCAATTAGAGAAAGCTCGAGTGCGGCGACAAAGACCCACTAAGCCAAAACATAAAATAAACACAATTTTTAAAAAATCTCTCTCCTGCGGCTCACCTGCACCCCCACTGGCCCAGACCTCAAGACCACAATGAATAGAAGCATCATAGCTGAAGGCTGGGCTTTGGGCAGGCTGGAACTCACAGGGAGGCCGGGCTCCCAAGTGGCGGCTCTAGATGGATCAGGTGGCTTTAAACGAGCCCTGTGGCCTGCAGCTCAAGCCCACGCCCCTATGGGGTCACCACACTGTCACCTGTGCTGGCTTGCAAGGCCAGACGCGAGAACTGAGAACCCCAGGGCCTCTGCCCCAGAGAGTCTGGCTTGTCTTTTACACCCACAGAGTCTAAGTCAAGGCCAGGCCCTCCTGAGAGAATCTGCACCGCCCTGCAGTTTCCTACAGTTTTCAGTTTCCCCTTTGGCACTGGCCGATGCCTCCGGTTTTCTTTTTTCTGCAGGAGCTGAATTGTCTTTCCCCAAATAGGTCACTTCTGCCCTTGATTGCCTGGTTTCAATATGCATTTCACTAGCTTCTTTGTGCGTGGGACTATTTCAGTTGTTTTAATTGATTATTTAATTGATTTCCTAAAAGGCATCTAATTGGATGGGTTAGGGATGGCAGGCAGGAACTAATTGAATGCAAAAGTGGGCAGAATCCTGCCTCTCAGCGAGCCTGCCTCCTTGGGGCTGCAGCAGGAGAGAGGCAGGGACCTGGCTCAGGGTTCAAGGCGCAGCCCTGCCAGCTCAGGAGAAAGCAGATGGCCAGACACCCTTGCCAGGGTGTGTTCTCCGAGGCAGATGTAGGAAGGGATCATTTCCCACATTTGAGAAGGAAAAGATGGCTCTCAGAAACCAGGGCATTAATCTCCCTGCTTAGAACAGAGTGCAGGCTTTGGAAGGGAGTCAAGTGAAAATCCCATTCCTCTGCATTATTTGGAAGAATAATGAGAAAGCTCGGCCTCCATCCCATCTCTTTTCATTTGCAGCTATTGAATTACCTGTTGGCACATCTCATCTTTCTATTTAAAACGGGCAATAAAATATACCCAGAGCCATTTACTGCCTCTGATACTTTTGCACACACCATACAAGCTGACGCCAAATGGGACTGACTTCTCGCAATTTCTAGATGTGCTTCAGAGCTCTGCCCCTTCCAAATCCTCACTCTTGCTGTTGTCCTCCAGGAATGCCCTGTGCCTGGGCAGGAAGTCTAGCCACCCACATAGTCTTCTCCAATCAAGTGCCACCTCTCCCAAGAAGTCTGCCTTGATTTCTCCCAGTAGACAACTCATCCCTTCCACTCTTAGACCATCTTCTCCACCATATTCAAGTCACTCCAATGACATGCTCTCCATGAATGTGCAGGTCAAGACAGAAAGGAACAGGTGGACATGTGAAATAGAAGGCAAAACCAGCTAAAGCTGGAGGGGGATTGGATAAGTTAACACAACATGATGGAGAGAGAAGAACTGAGTGATGGGGCCATGGGTGGTGCTATCTGACTGGACAGGAAAGAAAGGAGGAGAGAATGATGTGGAGGAAAAGGTGAGACAGGGCAAGGCGAAGGCTCCATGTGTTCAGAAGGATCCTTGCTCAAGGGTTCCCAAACTTGAGTGAGCAGCAGAGTCTCTGGGTAGGGGCTGGTTAAAGCAGATTGCTGGGTCCCACCCCTAGAGCTTCTGATGTCGTAGTCTGGGTGGAACCCAAGGATACATATTTCTAACAAGTTCCCAGATGATGCTGGTCTGGGGACCACACTTTGAGAATGATTACAAGATAACGATGAGGCTCAGGAGAGGTCAGGGCTGCAGACCAACAACTGTGTGTATGAGGGTCTGATAGTAGCAGGAATAAACAAGGAAGAAAACTGGGCTCTGAGATGCTAACAGATGCCTGTGTGCACGGGAAAGGGCCAATGTTAACGGTGACCCCAGGTTCCAAACCATTGTGTGCTCCTATGCAAAACCATCCTTTTATCCAGCCATTAAAAGGATTCTAAAGTTGGCTTCAAATGAAGAATAGACATTTCAGTATTTAATTAGTGATGGGATATGGGTTTTTCAAATAGTGTACCGTGAGACGGCTCATATTCGAGACGGTATAATTCCTTTTTTTTTTGGCTGTACTGGGCAGCACAAGGGATCTTAGTTCCCCAAACAAGGATCAAACCTGGGTCCCTTGTAGTGGAAGCGTAGGGTATCAACCACTGGATCACCAGGGAAGTCCCTCAAGACAATATCACTGAGCATAGATAAACATTAATGAAGTTAAAGACTCTGCTTCTTACTAACCCTCTGCAACCTGGCATAGGGGTTTAACCTCTGACTTGATTTACCATTGGTTAGTTAGAAACAATCATATGACTGTAAAGCTCGAACCTAATTTTAACATGCTCATTGGCTGATTTGGGCATTTTGGATGCTTCACTCTTACATACAAAATCTTCTCCTTCCTGTGTGCCCCCCAATTTCTCTCATATTATTCTTTTTACCAGGAAATCGGGCGGGGCATATTGGCAGAGAGAAACCCTTCTCTTCCTCTAAATGATGTTAAAGACGATCCCATAAATTCTAGGAAGCTTCGCCTGAGTAGGCAGAATTATAAATGAATCTTTCCTCCCCCCCCCGCCCCGTAATAGTTAACCATCCTCCCCAGAAATGGAAACAAACAAATCAGCAAAAGAGAACAACAGAAATATGACTGCCTTGTCTCCTTAGCAAGGGTCATCTTGAGTTCTGTCTAACTAATATCATTTTCACAGGGATTTTCATGATGGTAATGATATGATGATGATGACAGACAGTAAACAGCAGATATATTTCTCCTTGCTTTCCAGTTTTATCCCAAACTATGGTCTCACTTTCTTTTCACCCACCCTTCTCCATTCTTCCCGGGGCCCCGGAAGAAACAGGCAAAGTGCCCCCAGCTCCCAGACTCCAGACGTCCTGACCATGCTGCAGGTCCCAAGTGCTTCCAGGTTTTAGCTGTGACCTACCAGCCAGCGGTGAACTCCACGTGGGCATCAAAGAAGCCAGTGACCTGGCCGGTGGCCACCTTCCAGCCCTCAATACGAGCTCGGATCAGTCCCTCTCTTTTCTGGTTTCTCACCACCTTCACCAGCCCAGGGTAGCGTTTGTGGACATACTCCTCCAAGGGCGCCTTCAGCTCCTCTGCAAATGAAAAAACACAGGAAACTCCATAAACATGTCAAACGTGCATCCAACCCATTGTGAGGCCAACGGATCTTCAGGGAGTTCAGAGGCTGCGGAAAAGTCTGCATGTTAGTCATTTTAGTAAAAAGGACAACTGGGTCTGTGTGAGTCAGAAGGCATCTCTGACTGATGTCCTTTGAGATTTCTTTTCTTTCTGCTCCTCCCTCCTTCCTTGGCCAGCATTTCTGTGCTCGCACTGTCTCCTGGGTCCAATTGATCCACTTTATATGGTTTTTTCCATCTGCACATACACTAGTCCTCACAGGATGTGTTCTGGGAGGTCCAGACCCGTAGTTACACCCTGGACGCAACATTAACAGGGTCTGTGCTTTGGTCAAAGGATGTAAAATCTTTGCTCAGCAGTAGAAACGCTACCGTGATGGCAAAAGAAACGCCAAAAGGATTGAACATGCTCCCTTCTGCCACCAGCAGGTGGTACAAAGTGCATTACTTATATGATCTAATTCAATCCTTACAGCAACCTAGGTGGTTGCTAGATTAATCCCATTAATTTACTAGATGAATCCCACTTTGCAAATTAAGAACAGTCTTAGGAAGTGGGCTGCCCTGGTGGCCCAGTGGTTAAGAATCCACCGTGCAATGCAGGGGACACGGGTTTGATCCCTGGTCGGGGAAGACCTCCCAAGCTGCAGGGCAGATAAGCTCATGCACAACTCCTGAGCCTGCGCTCTGAAGCCCTTGCTCCACAAGAGAAGCCTGTAATGAGAGGCCCTTGCACAGCAACTAGAGTAACTCCTGTAGTCTGCAACTAGAGAAAGCCCTTGCATAGCAACGGAGACCCAGCACAGCCAAAGCTAAATAAATACATAAATATAAATAAACAACTCTTAAAAAGAACAGTCTTAGGGAGGCTCACCTGTTCCAAGGGCACAACCTAGGAGCAGAAGAGATGAATTGCAGGCCAAATGTGTCTAACTCCACAGTCATAAAAGGATACTCTTGTGTACCTGAGAATCATCATCTCATCACAAGGGAAAAAAAAAAACACTCACAATTTTTGTTTCTAATTTTTAATAGCAGTATGAGATGAGGATGTTAACTAAGCTTACCGCAGCAATTACTTCACAATATGAAAGTGAAAGTGGACTGTAGCCCACTAGATTCCTCTCTCCATGGGATTTCCTGGCAAGAATGCTAGAGTGGGTTTCCATACCTTCCTCCAGGGGATCTTCCCGACTCAGGGATCAAACCAGCATCTCTTACATCTCCCGCATTGGCAGGCAGGTTCTTTACCACTAGTCCACCTGGGAAGCCCAAATCAAGGGTAGAGTTTCCAAAAGGAGAAGCTGTACATTCATGTCACAAATATTTACAGAGCGCCTCCATGGCTGACAATGACACAATCCCTATTCTCGAAGAGTTGTCAACATCCAATGTTAGGAAAGTCAAATGCGTTACAGAAAATGAGAGCTAAGAACAGGCCATTTGATCTAAACAAATAGTAGACTCCTAACAGGACCGGTGAGGAAAAAAAATGAATTCCCTTCTGGATATAGCTGGGTCCTTTGGGGACAGGGTGAGTTTAGGGAGAAGTGAGTGAGCAGGACAGCTCGGGACTGATTTCTAGAAAAACTGGTACTGGCTGAACAGAGAAGTGACAGCTTGAGGGCACCAGGGTGTTGAGATTTAGAAGTCACTTCCTTGGCTCAGATCGTAAAGGATCTGCCTGCAATGCAGGTGATGTGGGTTTGACCCCTGGGTTGGGAAGATCCCCCCGAGAAGCGGATGGCTACACACTCACTCATCTCACACGCTAGTAAAGTAATGCTTAAAATTCCCCAAGCCAGGCTTCAGCAATACATGAACCGTGACCTTCCAGATGTTCAAGCTGGTTTTAGAAAAGTCAGAGGAACCAGAGATCAAATTGCCAACATCTGCTGGATCGTCAGAAAAGCAAGAGAATTCCAGAAAAACATCTATTTCTACTTTATTGACTATGCCAAAGCCTTTGACTGTGTGGATCACAATAAACTGTGGAAAATTCTGAAAGAGATGGGAATACCAGACCACCTGACCTGCCTCTTGAGAAACCTGTATGCAGGTCAGGAAGCAACAGTTAGAACTAGACATGGACCAACAGACTGGTTCCAAATAGGAAAAGGAGTATGTCAAGGCTGTATATTGTCACCCTACTTATTTAACTTACACGCAGAGTACATCATGAAAAACCCTGGGCTGGAGGAAGCACAAGCTGGAATCAAGGTTGCCAGGAGAAATATCAATAACCTCAGATATGCAGATGACACCATCCTTATGGCAGAAAGTGAAGAACTAAAAAGCCTCTTGATGACAGTAAAAGAGGAGAGTGAAAAAGTTGGCTTAAAGCTCAACATTCAGAAAACTAAGATCATGGCATCCAATCCCATCACTTCATGGCAAATAGATTGGGAAACAGTAGAAACAGGGGCTGATTTTATTTTTCTGGGCTCTAAAATCACTGCAGATGGTGATTGCAGCCATGAAATTAAAAGATGCTTACTCCTTGGAAGGAAAGTTATGACCAACCTAGATAGCATATTAAAAAGCAGAGACAAAAATAAAAAAATAAAAAAAATAAAAGCAGAGACATTACTTTGCCAACAAAGTCAAGGCTATGGCTTTTCCAGTAGTCACGTATGGATGTGGGAGCTGGGACTATAAAGAAAGCTGAGCACCAAAGAATTGACGCTATTGAACTGTGGGTGTTGGAGAAGACTCTTGAGAGTCCCTTGGATTGCAAGGAGATCCAACCAGTCCATCCTAAAGGAGATCAGTCCTGGGTGTTCATTGGAAGGACTGATGCTGAAGCTGAAACTCCAATACTTTGGCCACCTGACTTGAAGAGCTGACTCATTGGAAAAGACCTTGATGCTGGGAAAGATTGAGGGCAGGAGGAGAAGGGGACAACAGAGGATGAGTTGGCTGGATGGCATCACTGACTCAATGGACATGGGTTTGAGTGGACTCCAGGAGTTGGTGATGGACAGGGAGGCCTAGAGTGCTGCGATTCATGGGGTCACAGAGTTGGACACGACTGACCGACCGAACTGAACTGAACGCACTCTAGTATTCTTGCTTGGAGAATGATACAGACAGAGGCACCTGGAATCCTAAAGAGTTGGACACGACTAATAGACTAACACTTTCACTTTTCAATTTAAAGTGAGAAAGTCCACAAGCTAACCGAATACAAACAAGGCCCCTAGGCTCACCATAGAAGGAAACAAATCCTCAAGCTGACAGCAGTAAGAAATGTCACACCCATCACCTAAGATCCTTTATCATCCTTAACAGACAGAACCACCTCTGGACGTTATAATGACAGCAAGAAAAACATTTTACATAAGATTTTTCTCACTGGCAGACTCAGTGAAGACAATAAAAACTCACTTCTATGGACTTCCCTGATGGCTCAGTGGTACATAATCCACCTGGGTCTCGAAGATCCCCTGGAGGAGGAAATGAAAACCTGTTCCAGTATGCTTGCTTGGACAGAGGGTCTGGCAGGCTATAGTCCACAGGCTCGCAAAAGAGTTGGACATGACTCAGCGACTAAAACAGCAACTTTGCAAAAATAAATGTTACCTACGAGTGTTACCAAATCCAATCCTAAACCGGTCTAGACCCATTTGGGAATGCTCGTGTTTCTTAAGGTTTGGATCAATAACATTTGAGGTCAAGAGGGGAGAGGCAACTACTTGCCCTTGATGGGAAGGGACCAGAAAGGAGATCTATCTGCTTCTTCACAATAAAAGGAACAGCCATCATCCAGACTTAAGGAGTACATATTGCAACAAGAAAGTTACAAACAGTGAGAACCAAAGCAAAAATCATTATCACAGAATTTCATCCAGATCCTGCAATTTCAGTGGTATTGGAGAATAAAACATCAGTCTAGTGCCTTGACTCTAAACCCTGTTCAGAGAAAAGCGTTGACCTAGAAGACTCATCTCCATGTGCTCCCAAAACATGTGCATGAACCTGGGCACCACATGGATGTGAGCTTGGAAGTGGCCACACTGTCTGGGATTGGGTTCTATCTGTACTTCTCAACCCTCCTAGTATCAAGTCTTGACAATGAGATTTACTGAATGTGTAATTCTCCTCAAGGTACGGAGACTCAAGATAATCAGCCCAAGTTTAGATGTTGTTTCTTCTTTTTCTTATGCACTAATTTAAAAAAAAATTATTGGAGTATATAGTTGGGCTTCCCAGGTGGTGCTAGTGGTAAAGAACCCACCTGCCAATGCAGGAGACATACATAAGAGATGCTGGTTCAATTCCTGGGTTGGGAAGATCCCCTGGAGGAGGGTATGGCAACTCACTCCAGTATTCTTGTCTGGAGAAACCCATGGACAGAGGAGCCTGGAGGGCTCCAGTCCATAGCATCACAAAGAGTTGGACATGACTGAAGTGACTTAGCACACATAACTGATTTACAATGTTAATTTCTGCTGTACAACAAAATGAATCAGCTATATGTGTATATATACATGCATATGGCATATATATATGTATGTATGTATGTATATGCATGAGGATTGCCAGTAGGTCTGGGGTGTGGCCCAAGAATTCACATTTCTAACAAGCTCCACAAGGCTGCCACTGCTGTTCTGGTGAACACTCTTGGAGTAGCTCTGACTTAGAGCCAGTCTCTTATCCAACCCCATCTGTGATGAGTTAACCCCTGCTCAGGAAATAGGTCTTATCTGAAATGAGCAGACATTCCATAATCCCAGTGTTGGCCACTGCTAGTCTCTGCTTTTGCCCGGGCCTTCTTGTTCCACCTTGTCTGAGAGATGGAGCCCCTTGGAGATGACTTGAGTCTAGCCAGTGAGGGGTTTGTCTTGCCCAAACTGGGATCCTGATGGCCTCCTTCCACCCAGCCCTCACATGGAGCAATCTCCCCATCCAGCCCTTCAACAAGGACCCGGGTGTTCCTGGCTTCTGCATCACTC